AGGGAGTCCGACTAGAAGCTGCTCTCAGCTTCTTTTTAGGGAGGGGGAAAATAAGGTTTCATCAGCGCGCTGAGTCGCAACTTATTTTCCCTAACCCAAAAACCGTGGACATCCATCCCAACGCGTGCTAAAAGCAAGATGAAACACACAAACGAAACATCGTCTCTGCAGTGCTCATCACGGTTCGAACCATACACAAAAACGAAACGCACACATATATACATATATATAAATACATCTCTGTAGATGTATAAATATATATAAACCACGCTCTCGCCAAAGCTCCGCAAATAAACCTTCCGTCGCAAAACCCTTTCAGCTGATGAACAACAGATGGATCAAACACAGTCATGCAATTTCGGTCAAGGAGATCAGCGCACACTTTTTACTTCTTAGATGATGGGGAATTCACGCCGCCCGCTTTCGCCACGGCCCCCACCCATGTTAATTGTGGCGTCTTTGCCATCCTTACGAAACTCACGCTTCCTTTGAAGCCATCTCCAGCATCCCTCTCAGGGATTCTCAAGTCTCTTCTTGAAAGAGGACGATCCATCAACCTTGAAGGGAAGTCAGCCAAATTTGACGGAGAAGGACCTCTGCTAAACCATGGTAAGACACAGTAGGAGTCAAGGTAAGTGGCAGCAAGTGCGCATATAGCAGTTATGGACAGTGAGCCTGAGTAGCCCCTGATCAAAGAAAAATTTCGAACCCTCATTGTCGCTATGCACCAAAAGCGGTGCCTATTTGAGCAGCTGGCACCAAACCATAAGTGACATGGAAACTACCAGAGTCTTCCGTTCTCAATTGCATTCTGTCTTCCACCTGTCAAAAAAAAAAAGGCGGCCAGGTCTGACACCTCAGCCCAAATTCCAAACCAAGAAAAGCCATGACCATCTCCTGAAATCGAGGCTGCTCCAAGTCCAGCTCCTTCGACCGGATCAAAATTGGCGTCTGTGAATAGGAACATAGGTTGCAAAAGCTCGCATTGTAATTGCCTGGGTGTTCCCAGGGGTACTCTCTCCTTCAGCCGCGCAAGTGAATCCACCAACGTGTCCGCCAGCTCAGCCCTGAAGGGAGAGGTGTAAACATGCTTTGTGATATTCTGTAGTGCAACTTTTCCCAACCTTCCAAAGATGAATGAATTGCAGAAGGGCAGGCGGCCCCTTAAGGTCAATGCACTCTTTTTATCCAAGGCACAAACAGCAATAACTTGATCAAGTAATTCGATGGTTTCCTTGACACGCTTTTCGGTGAGGGATACCCTGAGCAAGCCATCAGCACATCCAGAAAGGTCAAATTGAACACCTATGGCCATAACCAGTCTTGAAAATTCGTCACTCTTGGGCCCTTCTCTATCGATGTCCCAACCAGTATGTCCATCATGAATCACAAGGCAGCTTGAGTGTTGTTGGCCAAGCCAGGTGTAAAAAAAAAACACAAAGTCATCGAGATCAATCGGGCCAGTCAGCCACCCTTTGCTAACCTCCACTGTGTCTTTTCCCAAAGCTTCTGATCCAGGTCATCCGACCCGCTGCTCCTCGTCATGTATCTCAAGGCCCGGTTTGCCTTCTTTGCATTCCGAGCCAGGTCCTTTGTTGTCATTGTGGCAGGCGGCAACTTCTCAGGCAAAACATTTGAACGCGGGGCTTCTCCCACCCGTGAGAACCCCTTATCCAGGTCCAACGCAAAATCTTAGCCTTCGTACTGCTCTCCCTGTATGATATGTTTCACCAAACACAAACGATTGCTCTCCAAAATTTTCCTGCAGTCAGCCGGCATCGCTGATTTCAATGCCCATTCGTCCTCTTTTTTATTTTTTGAAAAACTTTGGACAACCTCAGCCACTCACCCAACTTGCTGCACCTGTCGTCTATCAACACAAATTCTCACTTTCCGCAACATATACGCAAGCGTCTTTGACTTCGGTTGGCAGCCCTGAAAAAAAAACATAAATGGATATCCCACTGCAACCGCATAAGATATAAATTCCTCTGGCGTCCACCTAATACCAAAGACCCAGTCACAGCAATCCCCAGTTATGCTCTCGACATCCAAAACGACTGAAAAAGGGGATACAGCTATCACCAACTTTCGCACACTTTCTCAACCGCAGTTCCGCGTCACTTGAACTGTTCTGGCCCTGGCCAGTGTCTGGCAGTGATCTCAATGTCTGCGTATGTTCCACTGAAAGCTTAAAGCGACGGATCTCACCCCGTCTGATCTCAAAGCTTAAAGCGACGGATCTCACCCTCAAAGCTTAAAGCGACGGATCTCACCCCCTTTTCTGTTGGTCGCTCACAGTATTCTACTCTGACAGGGAATAGTGCAGGACTGCTGACACCATGTAACGCTCACGCACTGTAGTAAAACTGAATTGGAAATGTTGAAAGTAACATGACATGGCAAATTGGAAAGGACAACAGTAGGCAAAAACTCAGGAACAGTGGGAAGCTGAAGCGCTCTGGTGAGTTGTTTGGCAGCTGCGATGGCAAGAAGATGTGAAAGCCTGAGTTTCTTTGCATATTGCGTAATATGTGGGAGCTTGTATTGACCGCTGTAGTCAAAGCTTTGGCTAGGCATGGTGTGTATTCGGCCTCCAGTGAGGTATCGAAAACACCATTGTTGATGTACCGCGGTGCATGCTCATGCTGTCCATCACATAAAATTCAATGACATCACAGCACTGCTATTAGAAGCCAAAAATGTACGCTTCAAACGTTTCCACCTAACATGCAATTATGCAACTCACAGTACAATGGGTCTATGCATTTCGCAATGTCCTTCCATTACGATGTTTCCCAAAGCAAACTCGTCAAGGGTTCGCAACCGTCCAAATAATGTCCATGCATGTAGCTGTTTTATGAGCCCGCGCCTGTAGCTATACCGGCGATTGGCGGCCCTCAGTTTCACCGCATGCACCCGTAGAGACCAGGTCTCCCTTCAGGGAATTGTGGTGTACGTAAAGGTGGAGGCCCATGTATCTTCCCGCCAACACGTCAGAATCTTGCGCGAGAAGCCGTGCCACAGGGACCCCAAAAAAAAAGGACCCAGAAGCACTTTCCAGCCAAATCCCACTGCTCCACCAGGTCTTGGTGGTCCTCTTCCGTCACATCTAGGCAAACAACTTTGACTTTTTGTTTGTTCTCTTTGTGATCAACTCCAAGCTGTCAGGAAAGAAATGCTCCATTGCAAATGTCAGGTTACCCGTACTGCGAAAAATTCCAAGCAGAAAATTCCTGATTCTCCGATCTGTGGTTTCAAACCGGCATCATGGTTCCACAAGTGGATCCAAAGGTTTCCCAGCACCAGCATAAGACTTCATGTTGTTTTCCTGCATCCCTTTTGTCTGTCTTTTCACCGCATCATCCACGATGTGGCCATTCGGAACTGGTACACGTTGTGTACCAGGTTCAAATGGTCACGCCCCTCATCAGGGAGGGACATACAACTATATGTCCCTTCCTGATGAGACTGCCCACAAGCGAAGTCTTTGTAGCATCAAGTTGAATCTCCTTTTCCGGTTTCGAGCCCATGAGCTCCTGCTGACGTGACAAGCATCTGTTGGAGTTGATATAGGGCACCTCATTGCGCTTGATCGTGGCCGCACAAACTGTAAATTGTTCACTTTCGCGCACAAATGCATGACGGTCTGCGCGCGCAACTGAGCTTGTGTCACCTTTTGGAACACAGGTGCTGGAGCTTGGGCATAGAGCGAAAGAAGTCGATCAATCCACTTTCTCATAACTTGATAGGAAGCTAAACCCGTCAGATCCATTGCCAAGGTGCGCCTTTGCAGCGCCTGATACAGTGTCAGGCCCGTGCTGATGTTAATCTCTGAGTGGCTCTGCTGCTCCTTCACAACGAGTGATGTCCTTGTAGCATCAAGTTGAATCTCTTTTTCTGGCTTCGACCCCATAAGCTCTTGCTGCCTTGATAGGCATCTATTGGGGTTGATGTAGGAGACCTCATCGCGCTCTATCATTGCAGCGCAAAGATCATAAAGACCATGGGCCGGTTCCAAAGGGCCCTTGATCTCAAGCTCTCTCAATTGTTCCCTCTGCCTTTCCAGCCGCGCATCCCATTCTGGCTGTGCCATGCGCTTTGGTGCGGAATCATCGCCCTTTGCAGTCGCTTTGAAGCTATGCATCATCAAAGTCTGACTCTCGAACAAAATCCTTTTGAACGCCGAAAGTTTAGCTATGGTAGCTGGAGCTCCTGGACGCAAAGCATTCAGGAATCTGTTCACCTGCTCATCCATCGCCACCGTCCCAGGGCTAGTCACTGCGAAAGCCTGCTTTGCAAATGTAGCCAAGGAACCTGCTTTTAGGGCGTCTAACCATAATTGAGTAAGCCCTGCGTCCTCAGCCTGCTGAACAAAAGTTGCTTCAGAGTCCAGTATTGACGAGATGGCCATTGCGCAAGAGTGGGATTACCCCGCCGCTCCAACAAAAAAAATCTTTTTATAAATAAAGCACAGCTGACTGCTATGAACACTGCAATAGAAAGTTCTAAACAAAACACTCATGTCATGTTGCCTGGCGCTTCAGAAAAACACTTCCCAGCTCAAACGCTGGGCACTACTGAACCAAAAACATGCAGCTGCTCTCAACTCATGTCGCAGTCCCATGCCGCTTTCGGCATTACCAAATCAAAAACTGATTGCACTCAATCAGATGGCCTTTGCCTTAAGATGCTGACATCTATGTGCTCAAGTTGGCACTGTTGCCACTTCAATCTCATTAAAAATAAATGTCACCGTTGACAAAGCTATGCATGATGACTCAAATCAGAAATGTGCAGTGAGAATGAAATGTTCTGCAAAAATGACATGCTGGAGGGACGAAAAACAAGGAAAAGTCACTCGAGCACACCTTTTGCTTCCAGGCGGTGTCGCTCACTTTGCTCTAGAGCAATCAGCCCTCTGCCGGTCCAAGGCTTCTATAAGCCCCCCCCCATAGTGGTGATCACCTCACCTTTGAAGCACCAGCCATACCCTGCATTCAAGGCGGAGCACCCTGTTCCAACAACTCAAAGTTCTCTTGAACCATGAGCCTGCCACGTGCAGTCTGCTGCTCGATCTCCGAGCACTGTGCACCACATGACTTCTCCTGTTCCTCCAGCCAGGACCAGGGATATCAACCTTTGCTGGTGGTCCAGCCTCATCGCTATCACTGTCCGACTCACCTGACCGGAGTCCGACAAAGGCAGTTCACTAGAGTCATCCTCCACCTGCTCGTCGCCCATCTTTGACTTGCATTCCATTTCCATCGGTGTAGGAAGGTCATATGCATCATCATCATCTGCTGTCTGGCCATGGTCAAAAGCAGCCTGCGCAGACGCTGCTGTGGTCCTGTCAACCGTTCCAGCAACATTTTCTGAAATCTTCATCAAGTCCATCAGCCTGCTCATGTGAGACTCATCAGGGCGGGCACGGACCTCCCTGATGTTTGACAACATGCTGCAATAAAGTTGCAACGGCCGTGCCAACATATCTCGCGAGTAAACTGCCATCGATCCTGAGCCCTGAAGTTCATGATATCCCAGCAGTGCGTGGGATGGTTCATCCAGGCCATAAGCACCGCCCCAAACCAGCGTGGTATGCTTGAAACTGTTTGAAGAGATTGAATTGACCGAGCCGTTTTTGAGGAACCTGTTGATGAGGGCCCCAATCTCCTCCGAAGTGCGTAAGCGGGTACACAGCTCACCACCCTGTGACGGGGCCCTGCAGATTTCCCCAAAAGGTACATAGTTGATATCCACAATCAGCTCCAGCATAGATTCAATACGAAATTTTGACCAGTCCATTCCTGTGCTCCCTTGTATTAGCGCCACAAGGGGCATATACCTCTGCTTCTCTGCAAGACTCGTGGCCGTCTTGTGAAACATTGCCTTGGCCCCCACAAGGCCAAAAAGCTCGCCATTGCACCCTGCATGTTCGACCCAGAACTGATCCACATACCTGGTGTCCGACCACCTTGATATGGACCACGCTGCATAGATCACAGCACGTAAAAGGTAAACATCTCTCGTGTCCAGTACGGCTTCCATGGCCTTTTCAAGCAAAGCCAATTCCGATGCCTTGAGAGGCCTAGCAGGGTGATAGATGTCCTTTGCAATCATCAACCTCTGTGCTCTGCATCTCAGTTGGGGGTCCGACAACAGCACCTCTGGAATTGGCAGATCCATCCAGTGTTTACTGAATATGAGCGCCTCCAATAAAGTGATGTCTTTATACGCAGCTTGCACTTGGTTTCCAGTCTGTCCCATGTACTGTATGCACATCAATCAGATCCATGGATCCCAGTCTCGACCGTTTGATCGTAGCCATGAAAAATTGAGCAACAACGTCTGAGCCCGTTCGACCGCAGTCCTTGGGGACTTGACTCCAAGCGCACCATGTAGAACCACACTCTGGGCTCCAATCGAAGCATCTACCTGTTCGGAAAGCACCGCATGATCCAACATGCCAGGGAATCCAAGAATGTCGAAAACCTGCGCCCACTTGTTAATCGCCTTTTCCCACAATGCAGCTTCATCCAAAAACATGTCTCTGTCAGGCACAACTCTGATTGCAAAAGAATACAACGGCATGGACACTTCCGCATGTACCAGGCTCCCAGCTGTGGGCCTTCCTGACATACCCAAAGGCTCTGAAGACTCTGCACCGCTTGTCGCAAAAGGCATCAAGTGATCTGGTGGCACTGCAGGTACTATTATTTGAAAAAATGATCTCATCATCCCTGTCCAAAAGCTGTTTCATGATTCCTGTTTCCCAAGGCACTCTCAACTCAACGTCACTCATAGATGACATGCGGGCTTCAAACAATGCTCTATTGGAATCTGATCTGGAAACCGGTTCATCTGAGGTCTCAGCCGCAATCTCACCCTGAAAGTGTTGTGGGAGACTGCAACCCTCCAAGTCATGGAAACTGAAGTCACGCTGAGAACCCTCCATGCCATGCAAACCAGGTTCATGTTGAAAAGAAACATCTGGATAACCTTGTTCCAAGGTTGAAGGTGCAAAAGAAAATTCAGTGTAAACAGGGTTTTGCAAATCATGCCCCGCAGTTTCGTCCGAGGCTCGCGCAACAGAATCCGGGACCATTGACAATAAACTGTCACTTTCAATTTGCCCTCTCTGATTGTCGGTACTCATCCAATCTTTCCAAAATGTCACCGCAGTCCAAATAAATACCGTAGCAAGTCCAGCACAAAAACTGCAATGAACCAAGATCCAGAAATGCAAAACACCTAACTTCGACATATGCACCTCTTTCAGTAAGATCCCAAATTGACCATGTTGCACACCATAGTTGATGCTCGCTAACGTAGTCGTATCTCTCGGGGTCCCACTGCAATCTCAACATATCACCCCCATGGCACAAAAAGATAAAACACGCCACTAAAGAAGTGGACCCACCCTCCCTCCCTTTGGAGGCGCAACTTGAAACGGATATGCCACACGCATATAGAATTGAATGTATGGTTGACAGAACACTTTATGTTTCAGATTTCAGATTGTGTGTGTCATCCTGCGCACTGTGCAACAAAGAACACCCAAGTATGGTTCACAATGTCAAGACATCAGAGTGACATGTTGTAGCTGCAGATTGAAGGTTTCACTTTTGAAACAAAAAACTCACAAGACAAGCAACCACTTTTGGTTGAACCCGCAGCTACCACATAATCACCACAACCCAAATGCACAGCGCAGGAACGCGAGGAACGCACGCAGACGCGAGAGGGAGTCCGACTAGAAGCTGCTCTCAGCTTCTTTTTAGGGAAGGGGAAAATAAGGTTTCATCAGCGCGCTGAGTCGCAACATCTCAAAGGTGAGATAGCCCTGATGTTCCTAGCTACAAAACGCATCAACTCAGCTTTGCCATCCACACGAATGAGACCCTGCACAACTGGACCTCGTTCCAATCCCATGTGAATGAAAGTACACTCAACATTCCTCGTTGAAAGTGGTGAATGCTGCCGAATTGAATCAGGAATCTCTGCCAAAACCTGAGCACCAAACAAAGTCGAAACTGGTTTGGATAACTTCCTTCCTGAAACCATTTCCAATGGACTTCTGTCTGAACCTCGTGATGTTGAAAAATGGTTGTTGCACAAAGCCAAATACGTCAAAACGTCAACCAAATTCTCATGTGAAAATGTGACATCCAACCCTTGTGCATTCAGATCAGCCCTTAGTACAGAAAAGGATTCTTTTAATTCCCTAACTGCTCGCTCAGCCGACCCAATTGATCGATGTTGTTGTGGAGCGGCTCTCCGAATAGCGAACGTATATCGGCCAGTGGAGGTTCCAATGATCTCTCCCACGGCCCTCTCGCTATCGGTGTGGACATCAATGGAGACTGCCTTCGAAGTCAACCCAAAATGTTGAAGCCATACAGCAATCTGTCTCCTGGCTGCTTCGACATCTTCTCCAACCACCACATAGCCAATGCACCTCGACATCATCTCGGTTAACACAAGGATCTTCACCGAACCTGGGAGTTCGTCTGTGACGATCTCTCCTGATGTCTTGAGGAATGCAAAATCGGCCTGAATAGAAACCTCTTTTGCAGAAGGTACCGCAACCTTCGAAACCCTTGGGCCAGCGTCCAGGACGTCGTCCTTAACTCACTAGAACCGTCCACGCTACCAAGTCAACCACTCCCAGAGCTCAGCCACTTTTACACACAAGCACAGAAACAAGATGTTTGCTCATGTCGCTATGGTTCTTGTTGGTGTGTCACGCCTTGACACAAAATGATGCGGAGTCGCCAGTCAGCATCCTTCTGCTAACTTTCACAAAAGCGATCAAAAACACATGTCCTCACAAAAAGTCTTTACATCAAGACATGGTTTGTTTGTTTAAATAAGTTTGAGTGTTTGAAAAACGTTGAAACATTTCAAGCACCAAAACATGATTCATGATGTCTCCCTCAGATCTGTTAGCAACTCCAGTTCTGAATGTCTTTCAGAACGTTGCTCTCGCTATCATCATTGAGAGACAAAACAAACTAAACTTCTCCGACCAATGTCAAACAAAGTTCCTTCTTCCGAAGTCACAAAATGAATTCTACGATCTTCTCACGATTCCTTCGTGCACTTCTGCGATGATTCTGTCGACAAAACTAAAGCAAAGTATATGGAAAATGGTTTGATTTTCCATGTCACTATACAAATTCAAATCCTCAATGTTGTCCGTGCAATCAAAGTACTCAAAGAAGACGAAAAGTATATCGTTGTTGGGTTTCGTCATCTCCAATAAAACGTGCAAAACATGAAACGTGCAAATACGATGTCAACCATCACGGTTGAGCTCATCATCAAGATGAAAACCAAATTCACTTCTTCCAATGCAGAAAATACCAATGGATTCATCTCACCACAGATGTCAAATTTTCACACCCCCTTTTGAGATGAACTCCATTCCATAGGTATACGCTGTAACCCATCCAGACTTCAGCACGTATCGCTAAAGCTTAGCAGGTCAATACATATAATACGAATTGTCCCGTTGTCCACCCTCCAATGAACAACCAGCTCATAGTCTTTCCTCGTCTTTGCACCAATGAAGATATTCTCAATCACCCAACTGCCTCTGCACTGAAGTTCCAGTGAAGCAACCCTTTGGCTTTCCAACCTTTCCAGAGTCCTCCACAACCTTGCATGCGCAGAGAAAAGAATACCAATCCTTTGCAATTGGACTTGTACTCTTGTTTCCCAGGTGACCCATACTCCATTTGCAATATCCTGCCATCTCCTCATCGACATATACCTCACGGTATGTCTTGCCTTCATTGGCAAACTTTCCAAACGCAAACTTCGTTCTGCTCCAATCTCGAAAACTCATGCCTTCAGGTACCAAATCAGCAGTAAGCTGATCAAGGACCTTGTCGGCAATCCCAGGAAAGATTGGGATAGGCATGACAGGCAACTGTGTATTCAAAGGTTCACCTGCCGAAGAAATCACATCGAATTCATCATCATCCAGAGCCTCACGAAGTCGCTTGCTTCCGTCTGTCATTGCTCCTTGACTCTCCAAAGGAGTCAAAACACTGGATCCGGCTGCATAGCCTGACCCTGAATTCTCACTATGCCACTTCTTCTGAAGAAGACCAAGCAAAGCCTTCTCATCTGCATCTGTCCATCCAGACTTGGCCATGGCTGCAAACCAAACCGCGTCCGGTAGTGAAAAAGTATTAGACCGTGGCTAAGCTCTTAGGAGCAATCAACCTAGAACGTGAAACGAAGTGTCGAACCGCCATCACAGTCGTGATAGGATCAGTGGCCTTTCAGATTGTTCTGCGCTGCGCACACACACTGCATCTTACAGCATCGCGCAACAAACTCTGCACAAAATGAAACATGGTGAAAACTCCTGTTTGTCTTTGGCAACGTTTGTTTGAAAACAACGTGCAAACGGAAATGAAACGGAATGAAACGAAACGTGGATCCAACTTCTGTCTCTCTCTCTGTCACAGGGCCCCCTTTTAAACGCAAATTCAACTCTTCTTCTTCGAAGCATGTTTGACCGCAATCAAAATGTATCTTGCCAACTTTCGGTTGTAAAACGCTGTTTCAGTATAGTTGATTTGATAAAGTTCTGCATGAGTCTGACATGTGCATGTTGAAAGTTTGGAGTGAAGATTTAATGCAAACCAGGCTGAATTGGAAACAAACTTCAATGTCTTTCCAATCGGAATACCATCCTTGTTCTGGCGTCCAGTCTTGCACAACCTCACCAAAGCCTCATGCCTCATGTCAAAACTCTGCAA